CCCGGGCCACGCGCGGCCTGGTCACCACAGCCAGGCTACCCAGCAGCTGGCCGTGGGGCTGGCCCCACACCCAGCCCAGGCTCAAAAGCCAAACCCCAGCATGGATCTTCTCTGCCACATCCTCTGAAATCCAAACTATCTGGCTGTTCCAGCACAGCCTGCCCCTCAGGCAGCCAAGGGAAAAGCGCCTGCGGATGCTTTAACCAGCACTCAAGATATTTTGGAAACTCTCCTCCTCTCCAAAGCTGTTTTTTTTTTTCCAAGTACTCTGGAGTATTAACTGTTCTAGGATGTCAAATTGCAACACAGATTCCTCCTGGAGTTCAGTCCTTTCCAGATTCCCGTATTTCAGGGTGTTTATTCTCAACCCTGAGGCTCAGCAGCACAAGCCAGGCTGGGTGCCAGCAGCAAAACACTCTCACAGGAGTAAATCTTATCCCATGCTGCAAGAGGCCCACCAGGAATCCTGTGCTTGCCCACAGGCAGCTCTACATGAGCAGAGCAGAAGCCTAGAATAGAATAGAATCCTTTAGGTTGGAAGGGACCTCCAAGATCATCAAGTCCAACCCTTGAGCCATTAGGGCTCTAAAGTCCTCTGCTAAAACAGATCAGAATCTGTCAGGGTTGGAAGGGACCACAAGGATCCCCCAGTTCCACCCCCTCTGCCATGAGCAGGGCCACCTCCCACTAGATCAGGCTGCCCAGAGCCTCCTCCAGCCTGGCCTTAAAGACCCCCAGGGATGGGGCCTCAACCCCCTCCCTGGGCAACCCATTCCAGGGTCTCACCACTCTCCCGGGGAAGAACTTCTTCCTCACATCCAGCCTGAATCTGCCCACTGCCAGCTTTGCCCCATTCCCCCCAGTCCTGTTATTACCTGATATCCTAAAAAGTCCCGCCCCAGCTTTCTTGTAGGCCCCTCTAAGATACTGGAAGGCCACAATAAGGTCCCCTCAGAGCCTTCTCCTCTCCAGACTGAACAGCCCCAACTCTCTCAGTCTGTCCTCACAGCAGAGCTGCTCCAGCCCTCAGATCATTTTCATAACCCTTATTACTTTAAGGACCAGAATTTGTCCAGATTGGAGCATCTGAGGACAGGAATTCTTTCTGGCCAGTGCTCCTGCTGCACCCTACCTCTGGCACAGACGTTTGTGGTCACCAGCACCTTCTCCTTGCCCTCTCGGAAGCGCTCGATGACGGCCGCTCTCTGCTCCACCATCATCTCCCCGCTGAGCAGTGCCACCTGATGCCCTTCCTTGGACAGCTCTGCTGCCAGCCACCCCGCCGTCTTCCGGGTCTGCAACACCAAGACAGCAAGGTTTAATAAAAGAATATAATTTGGAACAAAATTGTGGAAGCCCCGTGGAGCTGCTGGGTTTTTGGATCTCAAAAGGGACCCCAAGTTTTTGGCTCCAGCGCCGTGCCCGCAGCAGCTCCTCTACAAACTGTGTGGGGAACTTCTCTAAAGCCCCTGTTTCCTTCCTGCTCTGCTCCTCAGCTTTCTCTCTCTCTGAGGGATTAAAGCTCTACACTAAAAAAAACTCATGAGCAGCATGGAGGGAACAAAACATCACCAACTGCCCAGGGAAAGGAGTCCCTGGAAAAGCTCCGTGTTGGCTGCAGACCTACAAGCCTTCCCCATCCCTTCTTCTGCCTTATTTCTATCTCTTTTCCAACCTCAGGGGTGTTTTTTATTTCAGGAGTTCTCAGGAATCCCTCATTTTTGGGAACTGTGCATTGCCCTGCTCTTTGCTTCAGAGCACGTTGAGAATAAAAGCCACCCAGATGGAGAAACCCAGAGAAACAAACCCTCTGGTGCCATCGCTCTCAAGATTTCCCCTTGCACAGCGAGGCAGAAAGCCACAGAAAAGGGCAATTTTTGTTTCTGAAAAGCAGGTTTTTAGCACTAGCAGCCAGTACCAGGGTCACTGGGCCTGATGCTCCCCCAGAGGACTCACGTGGCAGAAGATCATGGCCTGGGCGATGGTGATAGCACCGTAGATGTTACACAGAGCCTGGAACTTCTCATCTCTGTTGTTGCACAGGACGTAATACTGTTTAATAGTGTCCAGAGTCTCCTCCTCTCTCTTCAGCTTGATGATGTTTGGGTCAGGAACAACTTTTTGAGCAAACTTCCACACGGAATCCTCAAAAGTGGCTGAGAACAGAAGCATCTGGCAGTCCTTGGGGAGCATTCTGCAAGAGGAAGCAGAGCGGGCAGGATTCCCACGTGCAGCCCTGATATCCCAGTGGGACTGATGCAGAACAATATCCCCAGAACCAGTTCTGCTGCTGGCACAACTGATGCTACTCTAACTACACCCAATCATTCCCTCAAAGACCAGTGGCATCCAGCCCTGCATTCTCAAAACTGAATAAACCCAGGGACTGGCTTTTTATTCCATGCAAAAACAGAACTGCTTATCATCCCTTGACACTCTGCCTCTACTCACCACCTGGATTAGAGCTCAACAGATCATTTTCATGTGTTGCTTTACTGGTGAAGACACCAGTCAAGAATCCAGCCCTGCTGTGATGAAACAGGGAAAGAAATGGCAAGAAGCAAAACCCAGCCCAGGCAGGGAACGCCGAGCCCTTACCTCTGAATGCGGATGCTCTGGTCCTGGTGGCCCTGGGTGGCTATCATGACATCAGCCTCATCCAAGACGAACACTTTGATTTTCTTGGGGTCTATAAATTTCAGTTTGGAACACCAGTCCAGCACGGTGCCAGGCGTGCCAATCACAATCTGCTCAGAGATCTTCTGACCCCTCTCCACTGCCGAGACAGCGAGGAAAGCTGTCAGGAGACTGCTGTGCCACCAGCAACAGGCTCTCAACCAGCCCTCCACTGTTTGTCCCCCACAATCTGTGTCTCAGTTACAGTCTGGGGGTGGGTTACTCACATTTGTTGCCCCGGACAGCATAGGCCAGTTTCAGCTCTGGATAAAACCTCCCCATCTGCTCGATGACTTTTCCCGTCTGAAGCGCCAGCTCGTACGTTGGGGAAAGGCACAAACACTGGAGGGACACAAGGACAACGTGCTGGAGGTGATCAGTGGCCTGGGTAACACCAGCTGTTTAAAATCTTGCTGTTTAAAAATCCTTATCATTGAAGTTTTTAGGATTGAAGTTTTCCTGAAGGTGAAGGGGTGCTGAAAACCCGTCGGTTCTGCACCCTGAGAGTGGGGGATGGGACACAGTCACCTCATTAACAGCAGCAGTGTCACCTCGTTACTGGCTGCCTGCATTCAGTCCTGCTCCTCGGGCTCCAGAGTGCAGCTGCTCTGCTGGGGACAGTAGTGACAAGGAGCCCAACACCCACTTAGACTTCTTTTAAGGGAAGAACTCTAGCCTTGGTAAAACCACTCAACTATCTCATCAGGACACTGGGTTTAAAAGCCCTTTTCTTGGCATTTCTGCTCTATTGAGATACCTTCTCTTCCACCCCAAATTCCACTTACTTACAAATTCCTTCACCCTGCAACATTCCTCTGATTTATCTCTCCTGGAATGATATTCCCCAGTTTAACTCCTCACGCAGCAACGGCACCCTGAGTGATGCAGGGGAGGGACAGACAGGAACAAGTTGATGATCTCAGAGTTCTTTTCCAGCCTAAACAATCCTTTCATTCTAGGCTTCTGTAAGATCTTTTGCATTAAAAGCATTTGGAGAAGATGCCCAAATCCCCAGCCCGTGCTCGGCACTTGGCGATAGCGCAGAATTGGGGTCATCAAGCTCTGAAGTGACTCTCAAAGGTCTCAGCAAAGCCCACCCTCCTCACCACGTGGCAGGGCACGGCCACAGAACCCCCGGGGGGGTTACCTGGGGGTACTTGTTGCCGGGTTCCACACGGCTGAGCATGGCCAGGACGAAGGCGGCCGTCTTCCCGGTGCCAGACTGCGACTGTGCGATCAGATTCTGTGGCCTGCAGGAGACACAGGGGACAGGAGCTCAGCCACGAGCCACCCATGGTTGTAGTGGTTTTAGATTTACCACTGCTCTGGACAGGTGCCCAGCTCGACCAGCTAGAAGTTAGTTTCTGCCCTCTTTGCCAGCTTTTGGCAGACGACGGAGAGTTGGAAGGGCCGCGGCGCTTATCTGTCAGTGTTTTTCCAGTTTGCACATCTCCCCCTAGTGTCTCTCCCGGGGAGGAAAACCAGCCAGGCACGCAGCACGGCACCTCCTCGGCTCCCACCCTCCTCCCACCTTCCCGGGATTTCTGGAGCAGGCTCCTGGTTCCTCCCCTGTGCTGACTGGGAAAGGGGGATCAGCCCTGGCTGAGCGCCGCAGCGCTGCACGTCCGGGCCCGGCCCCAGCCCCGGCCCTGGGAGAGGGACAAACGCAGGGCTGCTGTCACACAGGTCCTGAGGACAGAAACACCAGAGCCCAGGCAGCTCCCCCATCACCAGCCTCCCCTCCAGGGCTCAGCTGGAGCCCACTGAATCCTTCAAACCCTTCTGATAGGGGCCAGAGAGGGAAGGAGGTGTACGTACGGCTCGGCGAGCATCATGGGCAGGGCGTTCTCTTGTATCTTAGAGGGTCTGTTGAAGCCCATGGCATAGACTCCTTGCAGGAGCTGTGGTTTCCTGAAAACAGAGGTTTTGGTGTACAAAAAGGGGGGAGAAACCCCCCACAACCAGACCTAGAGCTGCCCCTCTGCACGCACCCCCTCCAACCGCGGCGCTGCAGCGACCGGCGCCTGGCAGCTACGACAGGGGACAGTGCAAAGTGTAGGAAGGGAAATCTGCACAAGCCCCTCGACGTGGTAAATCAGCCCTTCACAGCTACACAGAAAATCCTGTGTCACAGCTCTAATGCTGGTGCTGGGCTGCTTGTCCTGAAGCAGCTTTCCAGACAATCCTGGGAATCCCAGAGCCGAGCACTAATCCCGGCCTTCGGCTCCCTTTCCCTCAGCCCAACCTCAGCTAGGCACCAAAATTATCACTCCATGAAGACTCAAGTACAGGCCAAAGTGAGCTCAGCAGGCAAGGAACAGAACGAAGCATCAACATCATGAAATCACTGCAAGGACTCCTGGAAGTGGCTCTGGATTCTGGGATACAAAGGGATATCCTAACACCAGAGAGATCCCGGGTTGGTGGGACTGGTCACTGCTTGGCTCACCGTGCCTACAACTGGTGAGAACACAGGTTGCTTCTTCTCAGAGGAGCTTTCAGGCCTCAGCAGACACTTGTGTGCACAACAAGATCCAAAAACCACCTAAAATTCTCCAGTTCTGGTTGCAGTGCCAGCGAGCTCTGCGCCCGTGCCCCCCAAGGGTCAACTGGAGTGCCAGCAGCAGTGCTGAAGAGCTTACAGGTTCCCTGCCCACCACTCCCTGCTGTTAAGAGCTTCCTACTCAGCACACAAAGCTTTGCAAAACCCACGTATTACTCTCAGACAAGGGCCAGAACAAAAGCTCTTTGAAGACCTGACCTCGTGCTGCTGAGCAGCCAGGACGGAGCCCGGCTCTGCAGCAGCTGCCAAGGACACACACCAAGACACAACAAAACGAAGACTCAATTAGTCTGGCTGCCCCCATCATTAGCTCCCTTAGATTGTTTTGCTTCCAAAAGATGGGAATTAGTCTAACAGGCACTACAGGACCTCAGCTTTTTTGGTAGATGTTCAACCACTAACACTAACCAAGAGCAACGACATCCCGATGAGAAATCTCATCGGCTCTCACTTCCCTGTGGAGCTTGCAAAGGAGCAACCAGCTCAAGATTATCAATATAACCAACCCAAATCCCAACAGGGCAGCCTGTTTAGCACATTAAAAAATATACAGAAATGCTTTAAATGCAGCTATTGTTGCTCAAAAGCTCCACGGGTGAAAGCAGAAGGGTCACAATTCCTAACCGCTCTCGCAGCCTCACCAGAAGTGAGTCAGAGCTGCTCTCCCTGAGCCTTCCTACTACTGAGTGGGCTGAAAAATAGTCATGAGGGAGCCTGTTTAATAGTTCTGCTCCCGGGTTTGAGCAGACTGAGGTGGAGAAGCCTCTGGCTGGCACTTACAGTCGCAGCTCCTCGAAGGACTTGACGGAGTAGAGGGGCGAGGTGGGGTCCCGCTGCAGCACCTCCACCTGGTTTGTGGTGTCCACCAGGTTGCTGCGGATGAGCTTGTTCAGCAAGGACTGGGCAGCTCTGTCCTCTGTGGAAAGAAGGAGCCAGGGAAGAGAAATAAATGGCAGCCTTTTATCAGGCTATAAAATAATTTATGTTGTAACAGATTTCCGCGTGGCTCCCACTGAAACGTTATCGAGCCAGATAAAAAGGACAAGATGCACCCAAATAGGGAAATTCTCTCTTACAGAGCCAGAAAAGAGCCCAAGCTTCCTGCATCTATCCAGATATCCTGGAGATTCACAGGTTAATATCCAGAATATTCATTTCATATTAATATCCAGGAATACAAACTGAAGCAAGCACTGTTTTAAGGACCTTAACAGACAGAAAACTGCTTTTTTTTCACATATTATAGCCAGGGACCTAACTGGAAGGCAGGACAGGGTGAAAAGCCTCAGTATTATCCAACCTTTTAAGGTTTTTCTTCTTTTTAAGGAAAGTTTGAGGACAAATGATACTTTGAAAGATTCCAAGGCTGAAAGGCAGTGAGGGCTGAGAGCAAGGGAGATCAAGAGGGGAAGTGAAACCACCCCACTTTGGTGGTTCTGCTCCTAAATCCATCTCCTAAAGCCACCTTCCAAAAGATGCAGAGCCAGTACCCACCTCTGAACAGCCATTTCACCAACACAACCCAGAGGTTGCCTTGGCAAGTCCAGCTCCAGGTTATCCGACCGCTCCTGCAGCCAGTCCTGCCTTGGAGGACTCTGCTATCCCCTTATTCCACTCTAATCCAGGAGTCTCCCAAGTTATTACAGGACCCAATGGCTTTAAAAGGGTTAGGACATGTCTTACAATTAAGTCCTTGGGGCAGGATACAGGATCATCCATCCTGGGACATAAGGCAGACTTACTTTAAGTAGATATGCCATGAATTTCTTTCCAGCATTCCTCACTAAAGCTTCTTCCAAGGCAGCACTTACCCTTCTCCTCATCTTCTGTCTTCTCCACGTTGTCATCAGCCTTGACGACAGCACCTAAAGCAACCAAGGGGGTTTAGGGGTGGGTGGGAGGTCAGGCAGCCCACACCCACTGAGTTTTAGGTCTGGAATCCCCTGAGAAAAGCTACAAAACAGCCCATTTTCCTGATGGGAGCCCTGCTCTGCCAGAAGAACCCCGAGTTACTGCTTCCTCTCTAGAGCCCAACTGGCATTTATCAGCCACACCAACAGATTTTACTCCCATGGCTCCTCAAATGCAGCAAAAAACAGTGTAAAAAGTCAACCCAGCAGAACGAGATGGTTCCTTGGCACTGCTGCACAATCTCAGCTTTATATTTCCCATTTCTGGGCTAATGAGGAATATCCTTCAGCAGCAGCACCCCAAACCCACCAGGAAAACTCTTCCACCCTTCCCACACCTGTCTGAGTGGCTCTGACTCACCGTTGGCATCTGGTTTGGTTTTTTCATCCTTCAGGTGCAAACTGCTCAGCTACAAGAGAGAAAAAAAAACCACAAACTCAGAGTCATTCAAGGATTTACTGCTGGCCAAAACACCCTGAGCTTCTCCCAGGTGTCCCAATGTCCCAACCCCTGCTCGAAGGAAGCGAGGTGAAGTTTGAGAGGTGAGCTCCAGCCCAAGAGCTGCAAGACAAACGTTGCTTTTCCCCAGCTGTAAGACTGACACGGAGAAGGGGATTGTTTCCTGGCCCTGCAGCTCCACTCTGCAGACCACAGAAGGGAGAAAATTCCCATTCCAGACCAGAATCTCCAGTCCCAATCATCATCAGCTGCCCAAGGATGAGTCCCTCTCACCCAGTCTTGGTTTTACCACCAGCAACACAAGGAGGAGAAGAGCCCTGAGGGTCTCCCAGGGGTGAGCTCCTGCTCTCTGTGCTGAACTGTAGCACTTGAGCAGCTCAGAAAAACTCAAAAAACCCCCCAATGTTTCATAGAAATTTAGATCTTGTCATAAAAACAAGAGAAAAAGGGATTTTTTGGGGGCCCTGAAGACAGAGTGCAGGCTTAGGGATTAGTTCTGAAGCGATGCCACTGGCAGGGCTGTGTCTGGGGTAGTGAGGGGGAAGGAGAGGGGCCTCCCTCTACTTTTATACTCAAAAAATAAACTAAACAAACAAGTTAAAATAAAATAATTTATTTATAATAA